TGAGACGGGGATTCGAACCTGCGACCCTTAGATTGCGAGTCGAGCGCCTTATCCACCTGGCCATGCCGGGCCTTGTGTGTCTATGTATTTTTTTAAATAATAATAACGCAGTCGATTTGAACGAAACAAGATGGAAAGTGCGAGTGTTATTTAAATAGAATTACAAAACTCGCCAGAACTGAGGTTTTGGAATGAGTGAAACCTGTGTTTTGGTTGTTCACAGAAGTGTTTCCACACCCACAGAATGCACTATTCGTATAAACATACTTGACGGTTTTGTTTCCACAGCGAAGAACACTTCCATATAAATCAATGCATACAACTCTACACAGTACCAGTATATGGACAAAAACAGTTTAAAACACAAGTTAATTTTCTCGATTTTTGCAGATCAACCAGAGATGAATATTTACACAGGCTTCAAACTTTTTTTGCGTGTAAACTGAAGTTCCCAATTTGACATTGTTGCTCTTGAAATCCGCGTTTTTCAATTGAAGATTGAAATTTGAAGATTGAATTTAAAAACAAAAACCCATATTGTACCAAAAAGTTATTCTCCGTGGTTTTGAACTGGTTATAATCGTTACGTGGTAAGTGGTCAGCTGAATTGGTTTTATCGTTACGTGGTGAGCCGTCAGCTGAATTGGTTAAAATGGTTACGTGGTGAGCCGTCAGCTGAATTAGTTTTATCGTTACGTGGTGAGCCGTCAGCTGAATTGGTTAAAATGGTTACGTGGTGAGCCGTCAGCTGAATTAGTTTTATCGTTACGTGGTGAGTGGTCAGCTGAATTGGATATAATCGTTACGTGGACAGGAGTTAGCTGAATTAGTTAAAATCGTTACGTGGTGAGTGGTCAGCTGAATTGGTTAAAATCGTTACGTGGTAAGTGGTCAGCTGAATTGGTTATAACCGTTACGATGTTAGTAAGAATTCTTGAACGTTCAAAATGTATACTTTTCTGTTTGAACTGAAAATTGTGGCCTTTTGTTTTTTAACTTTTACACGTGCTGGGTTTCATAGAAAAGAATTTCTGTTTATATTACAGCACTTTTCAAATGAATCACAGTTATTGTCTATCATTAAAAAGAATACACACACAACAAATTCTACGAACAATTTACAGTTTAATCTATCCACCTATAATACACATGCGACACGAGAAGCCAAAACATATGATAAAAATATAGAAATGATGTCGAGGAAATATTCTACGACTAACTCTATGACAATCGACTGTATTCGCAGAGTTCTTTTAGGCCTAACTATATATATATATATATATATATATAAGTAGCCTACTCGTTGTTTTGGTCTTAGCTCACGTAAGTTGATAAAGCTTGTCGCAAAGTGCCCACTGAGATGAATGATTTTTTGCGCACTCAAGCGCGTGAAGAGTAATCATACAATCTTGGCACGCTCTTCTCGAGTTAATATAAGTGTTCAATATTTCAATATTTTTTTTGTGCCAAGAAAAGTGTATGTTAAGCGACCATTTGGTCGGTAATAAAAGAGTTGGCTAATACTTCCTTACACTCTACTTTGGTTATAAAAGATTTGTTTTTAAAAATAGCAAGCTAATTTTGATCATTTGACGGTACAGCTTAATTTCCTATTTCTCCTACGCAGTATTTTATATAAAACCTGATTTATACCGGGATCAACGTATGCTCTAAAAACGTTATACTATTATACTATTCGGTGATATTTGAAGGTTAAATGATTTATTTATTAGATTACCTAATTGCGTTGACTACTGTTGCTCGGCAGTTAAAAAAGAAAAGAAAAAGAGATGATTCCGCCAGAATTCGAACGAGGGAACTTCTATGAATACAGTATGCAATATGTAATTCCTTTTCGGAGCCATTGCTCGGATTGAACGCGTCAGGGCTCCCAACGTAATACGATGAAAAAGAAGGGCTAAAATATAGAGTTTGAATTTTTCAAAATGTCGGGAAAACAGAAACATTAAATTGCTTGATTACACAACTTTATTACATATTTCAGTGAGATTATGAATATATAATTAAGTTTATACTTGCAGAACTAGTAACTCAAAATGAGTTAGGCTTACCTGCTTTTGTCCAACACCAATTAAAACCATAAGTAATATGGAGAGAAGGACAATAAATTTGAGTAATATGCTTTGAAAGGCACCGAAATATATATATATTAGGGCTATAAGGGGCCAAAAAATAGGAAGTAGTAGGAAACAACAAAAAAAAAAACTCATGGCCGCTGACGTATATATGTGTTCCTGAAATAGGTTGGCAAATTAATAAAGTTTCGGCTGATCATATCACAGGCCTGTGAATTTGTTTTAGTTTTAACATAATTCAGCTATGCAGATTTCGAAAATAATAATCATTTTTTCTATCACGTAAGGATTTTTTACAAATCGGGAAGAAAAAAAACTTACTTTGATCAAATTATTATTTTATTTACCACAAGGAACATTTTTTATTATTATGTGCATTTCTCGTGGGTTCTAGAACGATCGATAAGACTCTCACGTCGCGATTGGTCTAGAGAAATCTATAGCCAGTAATTGTCAACATTTTAAGCATAACAAAATGTGATCCGATTTTAATGAAAATGACTCACTTATGTAAAAGTACATATGACATTGTGTGAAAAATCAGTACGTGATGGAGAAAAATGGATATCATTTTCAGATTCTGCGTACAGAAATTACTGTAGAGCATGTAAAAATAGACATCATTCATTTGACCCTTACTAAGCCTACTTTCTTGGGTGTTTCTTGAAAGAAGTCTATTTGAGTATATCTGCTGCTGAAACCTTTATTTAACTATTTGCTTTTAAAATACTGATGATATTTAACCCTGGAATCACCAATTGGGTCCAATGCCATCGGCTTTTTTAAACCCACTTTTTAAATTATTTATTCACCAAATTGTTTGTAGGTTAATAACTTTGTTGGTTACCTGGTTCATAATAACACACGAGCCACACAAAAAAACAACAGCATGAAAACTGTAATTAATTCCACTAATTATTGCTGGAGTTATCACTATATTTTACATACAAAATGAGAGATTTCACCTTTTTGTGTCAGTTCTTTACACTGAGTGTTGTAACAGGTACAAACACAGTCAATGTGATCCCTACCGGTAGCGAACGGTATAAAAACAAGTCGGTAATTACTGAGTGTTGTAACAGGTACAAACATAGTCAATGTGATCCCTACCGGTAGCGAACGGTATAAAAACAAGTCGGTAATTACTGAGTGTTGTAACAGGTACAAACATAGTCAATGTGATCCCTACCGGTAGCGAACGGTATAAAAACAAGTCGGTAATTTGAGGGTTAACTGTTACTCGTTTTATGATGGATGTTTTTCCGATGGATTTTACAGGATTACATTTCCTAACTTTAACAGCGAGTAAACTGAAACGACTTTGGGAATTCATGTTGCAAAGCTCTCCGAACACTTCACGAAATAAGGGACTTACTTATAAAAACAAAAACAATTCAAGTAAAAAAAAAATATATATATATACATATATCAGATATTTTTACAGTAGTCTGCTGACTGGAGAGTTTCTACCTTTCAAATTACCGGTTTGTTTTTATACCGTTCACTACCGGTAGGGTCCACATATTGTTTAATATCGAGTGATGCCATGTTTTATCATGTACAACACTCATCGTAACGAACTGATCGCAATTTTTTCTATATAGAAATACACTAATGGTCCCCACAGCAGTAATTGGTGGAAATAGCTACAATACTCATGGTACTTTTGTTTAATTTTCTGTAACTCGTTTGTTATTAGGAATTCTGTAACCAACAAAGTAATGGACCACGAGCAATTTCCTGCATAAACAGTCTAGGGGAATTTGTATAAAAAAATCCAACGTAGATAATTCTGTGATTACGTTGGTACACGTATGTATATATACTGTACACACACACACATACACACATAAAACAGTCCTAATGTCTGAATAAAAGAATATCTCTCACTGAGAGATATATAGTGTTTTTCTGTGAATTCAACAAACTTTTGTTAATAATGTCTCTTGTCCTCAGTAGGAACAAATAACTCTCCTCACCCATCAAAAAGATCATTTCTACGAATCAGACAGTCGTCTTCTCAGTAAGGCACGCCTGTCATGCGCGAAAAACGGCTAAACAATATATTGTGTATTATTCTGAATTATACACATGATTTAAAAGGCCACTCAAAAAACTGTCCCCGCTATATGTGCAAGCCAAATGTGAAATCATTCTGTTATTGTACACACACATATAACAATCATGTGAAAGTCAGCCTAATCGATTTAACGCTAGCCAACAGCA